TTTTCCTAAAATGCCATCCGCATATTGTTTTCAGAAACAGTTTTGGCGCATTTTCAGTCACAAAGCCAACTACAATGTACGAAACTCAAGCATGAAAAATGATTAATGAACCACCTTCTGTGCCCCATGCTCTTGAACCGGCGCCAGAGAACTAGTGCTGAGACCACAGGAAATCGTGAAAGACGTCACCCATTGACCTAAACTCTCTCTTCCCTGTGTAATTATTCCACTAACTAGTACCGGTCTTCCGAAGTCTACTTAAAGCCATTCGCCCTTTTGACCTGGCGGTACATAATTTAAATTTATCTTTGGCAATAATTGTTTTTATGAATCCATCAAAAAATCATGTAGCCTATAATTAACTTGTCATATTCTATTTCATTGATATTGAATGTTTTAAAATATATTATGACTAACTGGGCCGGACCGTCCATGCTCCCTAATTTCGGTCGTATATCGATGAAGCTGTAATAGCTGAGTCTGGTATATCTCTGCTCCTCATTCCCTTGAAACAATATGCACCTGTAGTATTTATGTATGTTAGAATAAATATTAACATAATATCAAAATACATGAATAGCATCAATTGGAAACTCAGACTACAAAAAGTTTCTGCCATACGTAACCGCACATTATACTACAGGTTAATTTTAATTTCAAGAGCTTACTTAGTGTATAATCAATGAATCTTGTGCCCAACTCTCTGCCAACACTTCGCAACAAAATAAATGGCAGTAAATTTCGAGCAGATAAGAACTGAGAAAACATAAAGACCAACGAAGATATATAATTTGTGACTTTGAATATATGCATTCAACTTTAATCCACAAAACGAACTTCGATTTTCTTCATACTTACTCTTTGGTAAAGCCTCAATAATCCGACTTGTCTTTGCAAGCAAATCTAAAATTGTAAACTAGAGTCAGACATTAGTACCACGCAATATGATGTTAAAAATGTCACATTATTTGCGAGTTGAAATAGTGGTTAGCGTGTTTTCACTGATGGTCGATATCATATTGTTTAATTATAAATCAGTAGCCACAGACATCTGGTAACATAATTGTACTTCATACCCATTACCATTTCAAAAGCGACCAAATTCCACGCCCTCATTTGAACTCGTTTAAACAATTTCGTTTGCCCAGGGACTATTAAAACTCGGTCTCCGCCTTAGATTGCAGCTTAGCGCTAACGATAAATATTTCCCCATGTTGTGTTTCCATCTAGCTAATATATATATATACATACAAAAAAGCCGTCACGCTCAAAACAAGTAGAGCGGTGTTACTGAAATATTATTTTTGTGTAGTCAATTAAGATATAAAAAACAATGAAGTTTACTTATTGAGCATGATAGGTTTTCACTTTCAAGTTCTCTAATTCTTTCTTCCAAATTTACGGCAGTTCCTTGTTCTCTTTTTTGACCCTTTCGTCCTGTAATCCTCTTGGTCCTTGTGATCCGCGTTTACCAGGCCTGCCTTGACAATGACTGGAATCACAAGTCAGCTGACTCGTGACCCTATTTGCTACAACATGCGAGCAGAATTCATATATCGTTGGCATGTGACAGCTAGTTAATTGTAGAAAAAGGACAAAGTATAACACTAAAATAATCTTCATTTTTGCTATTATGGTCTAAAAACAAATGAAATAACATATTAAAATTTAAATAATTTCCGATACTTTGCAATAAAGTTATAAGACTAATGAAGCTGCAGGGTAATGAATAAAGTATATCCACCTACCATATAACTTTTATGCTAACTTGCCGGCGTATTTTACCAAATGATTAGTTAGACTTCCGTATCAACTCACGGTTATCATATGAACGGTTCTCGTAATCGTACGTACTGTGAGAAATTACAAAATTCATTGTTGAAATTGTATTCAAGAATTCAAAGTTCAGCGTCGCCTGTGAATGGATGGTACAGAAGGTATATTCAATATAAAGCAGAATTAATCTTTAACTAGGTATAATTAGCCGATTGCAGCAAACAAAGCAATCACGAAATAGTCATGCTTTTGCATTGCCTTGTAGAGTGCACAAGAAGTTTCTGGAAATATATGATCTACTTGTATTTATTATCTTATTTCGTATCCTCCCTAGACTTACAACCGGGGAGAGGACATAGTTGAAAACTTTAAACGAATTCACATATTAAATATTTTATAAGCCGAGTCGCGCCATATCAATTTATTTTATCGCTGTCATCATTTTTTTGTCAGTCGTTTTTCTCTTAAAATAACCAAAATCATATAAAAATAGGGTTCAAAAATGGCGTTATGCGACTGAACTATTCAAATATCCTTTGATTTTTTTTGGAATAATTATTTTTACATTGATCCTACAAAGTATACACAGATCAGCATTTGACTAAGCGGTCTCAAAAATGCCAATTGGAAACAAAGCAAGCGACGTAACCTGCAAACCGTGTTACGTCCAAATATGTGAAGGATAATACATCATACCGTCTACCGATGTTTAAGTGAATACGCATATTATATAAAAGAGATGATATATTATATGTTTCAAGATCAGTATACGATTATTCAGATATTATTATCATTAACTAAAGATAGCAATGAAATAAAGTTGATCGTAAACTCTTTGACCCTGCCAAGATTAGGGGATTGATTTTATTGGTGTCTTTTATTGGGGCCATTAAGTTGTATAAACTGCTATAGGGGGGCGATGGTACAAAAAGTTTGGGAACCACTGATCTAAAACTACCTTTTCTGCCCTGTGTTCTTGTATAGTAGTATTCAGATCACAGGATATTGTGAAAAAAGTAACCCATTGTCAACATTCTCTTTCCTATGTGTAAAATATAGGAAAGGGTGGGCCAAATAATCTGCGTGTTCTTTCCCCGGTACTATTCAACATACTTTAGCGAAGTAAACCCCAACCGACTTCTTCAGAGCTCAATAGGCACGAAATAGATTGTAAGACCAAATGTTCGTAGATTGCAAAGTTGTACAATCGATGTATATATAACAGATGAGAAAATACACTTAAATTCTTAACACAAATATATAGTGATGAAACCAAATTTCTTAACTAAGCAAGATCAATAAAACAAAGACAAGCAACTCTTGAGCGAGGTTGAAAAACTTTTTCGCATAAAACTTTGCGTGAAAATGATCATATAGAAAATAAAATTGAATAACATACATTATTAACAATAAGTGGTTAAAAGTATTAATATACACAGTTCTTAATATTTCGCTACAAAAAAATTAATTAGAAGAGTAAAGCTATTATTGTCGTAATTTTAAACAAAGTTTAATACAACATTTTTTTTAAATGTATATAAAATAAAATAAATTTAAAATACTTACTCCTTGGCAAAGCTTCTATGATCTGATTTGCCGTTGTGAGTGAATCTTAAATAAATATGAATTCGTGGACCTGTTACCATACGGTACTGAATTTTACTGCTTCGGTGCCGGAGTCATAGTTTTACTTACGGAATTTTAAAAATCAGGAAGGACATGAATAAACGATATTCGGAATTAAAAACAGTCATTTAACAAAATGAAGGTAATATTAAATGCCATCGAAAAAAAAACATATGATCGCTGATAGAAAGCTTACAGCTATACTATTCCGTGGAAAGAGATTAATGCTATTCGTAGTAATTTTATGTTACAAAAAAATCACGGACATTATTTTATTCATCTCCAGTGGGCCTACGCTTCCTTGATTTGAAAGCATACACAACGACGAAAAGCGAAAGCAAAATCGGATAGATGTAGTTTGCAAACAAAGGGCTAATTTCAAATTAATTTTACGCTGCAATGTCGCAAAGATATATCTTGATGGGAGAGTTCCTAGAGTCAAGAAGAACAGAATCCGGTATAATTTCTCATAACGACAACAGCATTTCGCGAGGAAAATTTTGTGGTTCGGACGGTTATTGTGAACTAATCGCATTAGACATTATCCTTTAGTACAGCCACAGTAGCACCAATCCAAATAGGCCAGCAATGTTACATATGAGAAGGAGTCGGGTGTTTGTCCAAGCATCTAAAGCAGTTGTTCACAACCTTCTATGACTCGTGGCTCCCTTCCGGATGCTTTTAGCACTCATGGCCACCTGTGTATCATTCCCATGGAATTTATAATGTTAATATGATTGGCAGACTCCAAATCCAAATATGTTCAATACTGTTAGATTTGTGATAAGATGTTCCTATGAATGAAATTGGTTGTATATGCACGAGACATTAGCTATATATATGTTGTATTGATTGGCTGTATATGAGTTGGATGTATAGGCAAATTTTTTGTTATATATATGTATACAACGTTACCATACTAACTATTGCATCTAATATGAAACTCCGAAGACAGTCTTGCTCTTCGATTTACATCAAACACTTACCAATGGGACACAGAACTACAGATTTGAGTCTATATATACCTATGTTACAATGCTCTTGAGTCAGTCGAATTTGTCAACCTTAAAAACATTCCCCGGAAACAGTTGTCTTAGCTACTGCTAGACCACATATATATATATATAATCATTATAATCAACCAACATATATTTTGAAACCAATATCAGTTTGATCTTTTCAATCTTTTGCATTCTGGGAAGGCTAAATTAAAAATATTTCTTAGATAAAATATAATACACTTTTGTCTTGTCACAGATAAAAAAACATATGAATATCTCCAAACCCGAATATAATAAGAGCTTTAAAATTAACAATATGGGATTTACAAAAATAAATTTTTAATATAGACAATGTGGGTTGTAATGTTCCATTCGGGATAACCAAAGTTTTTTTCGATCAAAAAGATGGGAATAAATCTTAAGGGTTTCAAAATATAAATAAATATTGAATTAATAGAAGTAAATTAACAATCGTCAATAAAAAGGTGCTTGAATCAGAGTATCATTCATTTATAGATTCTGATAATAAAAAAAATGGTTTGTAATAATATTAAGAATGAATATATTTCGTCGAATGAAGTAATAACAACTTCAACGAATAATAACTAATTGTTATCTCCATTTTATGTGTACAAATCATAGCACATTCCCTTGATAAATTCGACCCTCATATTGATGTGATTCTGCCATGATTGAGGGTAAACCCGAATATATCGACAAGTTATTGGTTTTGGAAACATGTTGATCTTTTTGGTGTCTCTGTCAGAGTTACCTGCAAACACAGAGCTTAGAACGATTGTATTCAATTATAATGTTGTTCAGAACTATTTTCAATTCAAAGAGAGAAGAAAAACGTAAAACTACTTTTTTATACCATATGTTGATAATATAGAAAAAGTTTTGACGCATTTTCTGTCACAAAACCAACTACAATGTACGAAACTCAAGCATGAAAATAATGATTAATTAATCACCTTTTGTGCACCGTGCTCTCGGATGGTAGCCAGAGATCTAGTGCTGAAACCACAAGAAATCGCGAGAGACATCACCCATACAGTAACACCTTCTCTTCCCTGCGTAATTATTCCACCAACTAGTTTTGGTCTTCCCAAGTCTACTTGAAGCCATTCGCCTTTTCGATCTGGCGGTACATAAATTAAATTTCTCATTGGCAATATTTTTTTATGAATCTATCAAAAAATCTTGTAGCCTGTAAGTAACTTGTCATATTCTATTTAATTGGTATTGAACGCATTATGATTTAAGTCATATATCGATGAAGCTGTAATAGCTGAGTCTGGTATATCTCTGCTTCTCATTCCCATAAAACAATATGCACCTGTAGTATTTATGTATATTAGAATAAATAATAACATGATATCAAAATAAATGAACAGCATCAGTGGGAAATTCAAAATACGACAAGTATCTGCTATACGTAAACGTACATTGTACCATAAGTATAAAGCTCAACGGAAAATTCATGATCAAAACTTTTACTCCTAAAGTTACTTTTAATTTCAAGGGTTTGTTGTATTATTAATGAAATCTCGCACTCAACTCTCTGCCACAACAATATAATCAGGTAGTTTTGAGCATGTAAGAACTAACAAAGTATAGAGATCATATTCAAGTTTATTTTTTTCCATCCAGTGAAAAACAAAATTAAACACACCATTTTGATCAACTAAATTATACAAGATTGCGATCAGAGACCGCCGACTTATCGATCTTGCGGCGTGTATTCTTGGCTTTGATTCAATAGCGACACCACGTGTCCTATTACTAATTAATTAATAACTCGCTAATTATGAGACATAATTCATCTAAAATCAATAGGCTTCTGGTCCGAGTTATGATGAATGCACATGCAAAATTTGGAGCAGATTCAACCTCGTGTTCGTGATATATCGCGTGCATCTAACAAACAAACAGACAGACAAATACCTATCAAGATACTTATCGAACCAGATTGATAAGTAATAGTTTAATTGCCTTTGTGACGTTAGATACTTGCGTTCAACTTTAAACTACAATGGGAACTTCCATTTACTCGATACTTACTCTTTGGTAAAGCCTCAATAATCCGACTTGTCTTTGCAAGCGAACCTAAAATTATAAACTGGAGTCAGACAATAGTACATAATAGTACAAGAGTACCACGCAACATGATGTTAAAAATGTTACTTAATAATGGTGGGTGTGTTTTCACTGATGGTCGATACCATGTTTTTCAATTCAAATTAGTAGCCACAGACACACAATTGAATTTGAGCCCCATTACCGTTTTCAAAAGCGACCGAACTCCACGCCCTCATTTGAACTCGTGTAAACAATTTCGTTTGTCCAAGGACTATTAAAAATCGGTCTCTGCCGTAGATTGCAGCCTAGCGCTAACGATAAATATTTCCCCATGTTATGTTTCCATCTAGCTGATATATATATTTATATATATATATATATATACTAAAAGCAGTCTCGCTCAAAACAAGTAGAGCGTTTTACTGAAATAATATTTTTGTGTAGTCAATAGAGATATACAAAACAATGAAACGCAATTGATGATTATGCTAATTATTTACTTTCAAGTTCTCTAATTCTGTCTTCCAAATTCTCAGCAGTTCCTTGCTCGCCTTTTTGACCTTTTGCTCCTGTTAATCCTCTTGGTCCCTGTGATCCGCGTTTACCAGGCCTGCCTTGACATTGTCTGGAATCACAAGTCAGCTGACTCGTGTCCCCATTTGCTACAACATGCGAGCAAAATTCATACACTGTTGGCATGTGACAGCTAGTAAATCGTAGAAAAAGAACAAAGTATAACACTAAAATAATCTTCATTTTTGCGATTATGGTCTAAAAACAAATGAAATAATATATTAAAATTAAATAATTTCCGATACTTTGCAATAGAGGTATAATACTAATAAAGGGTAATGAATAAAAGATATCTAACTTTAACACTAACTTCCCGGCGTATTTCACCGAATTATTAGTTAGACTTCCGTAGCCACTCATGGTTATCGTTTGAACGGTTCTCGTAATCGTTAGGTATGGCGGAATCGACTTCGGATTCGATTCCAGAATCGATTCTCCGTGGAATCGAGAAGAATCGATTCCGATGCATTGGAATCGATTATTTGGGTTAAAACTTGGATTGCAAACAAGGTATAAAGTTTTGTGACAAGTTCTTCACATATGTGAATAAACTGGTATATGGAACTGCTACAACGCTGAAAACCTAACTATATTTTTCTACAATTTCTTCCTCGCTCGTTTGCGCGGGTGAGGGCACATGCCACATTTTGACCATTTCAAGTACATTTTCTCTTACTTATTGCGTTCATTACTCATATTTACTTGAAGCAAGGGACATCACGAAAAATAAGAAAACTTGTTGCAGTTTGAAGTGGTAAGTTTTTCCCCCTCAGAGACGGAAAAGTCCGCAGTCCAACAGACCAGAATAGCAAAAGACCTCTTTCATAGAAATAAGGAAGTATATATGTAATGAAAATCTGATCATGGGTATCATGATGGTATAGGTAGCTCTGAAGTGACGAGCGGTGATATTGATGAATTAACCAGGTAGTTGAAGGCTTCTCTGAGATATCAAAATACTTGAATGACAGAACTCTTGTTAAATCTACGACCCACGAAGAATGTTGCGATGGTGGCAACAAAACAAAACAGACGTTTCCAAACATCGCAGTTGTCGTCCAAATGTACCTCTATGTCCCAGCAGCATCCACTGCATCAGAAAGATAATTTAGCTCAAAAGAGCTTCCCGTATTCAAATTCTCATCGAGCTTACAGGAAGACATGTGAACGAATTGAACTTTTTTGCCATGATAGTAACTTTTTGAACACGAAATGAACATTTAGATCGTTGTGTTATTATATTTTTGCTAGAATTCATTTTATTGTTCTTGTTATGAAAATATATCTCTTATCATTACCTACTGGAGGAATTGCTAGAAAATTTTGTGGTTGAAAATTGTAATTTTCCGCTAGAAGGCTATTATGTTTATTTATTTCAAGATTTTTTGTGGGCTCTAAGGCATTCGTTTTTTTGTGCGATTTTGTCTACTGTGACAGATTGAAAACCCATACCACTTAGTTTAGGCTTTCGTGTCCATATATTTGAAAATTGCTCACTTGTTACTTATCGATTTTAATCGGTAAGTATGTTGATAGGTATTTGTCTGTCTGTTTGTCTGTCTGTTAGATGCACGCGATATCTCACGAAAGCGAGATTGAATCTGCTCTAGATTTTGCATGTGCATTCATCTTATGTCGTACCAGAAGGCTATTGGTTTTGGATGAATTATGTCCTATATTTAGCGAGTTATTAATTAATTAGTGATGGGACACAAGGTGTCACTATGGAGTAATAGCGCTGTTTTGGGGATCCCCTGACTTCCGATCGATAAGTCCTCGGTCTCTGACCGATATTCTTGTTTGATTTGTTAGTATTGTTTAAATGGGTAGGTTTTCTAAGTTATGTCGAGGAATCGAGAATCGGAATCGAAAATTTAGGAATCGGATAAAAATCGAATACTTGTAAATACTCATACTTGGCATCCTTAGTAATCGTACGCACTGTGGAAATTACGAAAGTCATTGTTGAAATGATATCAAGAATTCAAAGTTCAGCGTCGCCTGTCAATGGATGGTACGGAATGTATATTTAATATAAAGCAGAATTAATCTTTAACTAAGTAGAATTACCTAATTGAAGCAAACAAAGCAGTCACGAAATAGTCATGATCTTGTACCGTGTTTTTGGAGATGAATCTGGTCTACTTGTATTTATTATTTCATTCCGTATCCTCCCTAGACTTACACTTGTCGGGGTATAGGCCATGATTGAGACCAGGCCATTAAAACGAATTCACAAATTAAATATTTTCTAAGCCGAGTCGCGCTATACCCACTTATTTTATCGCTGGCATCTTGTTTTTGTCAGTAAATCGTCATCGGTCTCGTCATCGTTTGTTTTCTGTTAATGATCAAATTCATTAACAACCAAGGTACAAAAATAGGTTATGTGGCTGAGCTGATCAAATATCTTTTGACTTTGATTGGAATTAATTTTTACATCGATTCTACGAAATATACACAGATCAGTATTTGACTATGCTGTCTTAAAAATGTCTATTGAAAACAAACCAAGTGACGTAACCTGCAAACCCGAGTTACGTCCAAATATGTGAAAGATATTTCATCACATCGTCTACCGATGATTGGGTGAATGCGCATATTACATAAATGAGGTGATATATTATATGTTTCAAGATCAGTATACGATTTGGATATTATTATCATTAAACAAAGATAGCAATGAAGTGAATTTGATTGTAAACTCTTTGACACCACCTAGAGGAGATACAATTTTAGACTCTAGCGCAGATGTATACAAATGTGGTTCCTACAGATATGGCCCTGCCAATATTGAGGAATTGATTTTCTTGGTGTCCCTGTCAGAGTTTCCTGTCAATGTCTAAATATCAACTAGATTGGTGCAAAACAAAAGGTAATTGTAGAAATAGGGCCAAGTATAAAACTGAAATAATCTTCATTTTTGCGGTTAATGTCTACTAAACTCTGAACAAATGAAATAGTATATTCAAATTAAATAATTTCGGATACTTTGCAACAAAGTTATAACAAGAATGAAACTGCAGGGTAATGAATGGAGCATATCCACGTACCATCTAACTTTCTTGCTAACTTGCCGGCGTATTTTACCGAATGATTAGTTAGACTGCCGTAGCCACGCGCGGTTGAATGGTTCTCATAATCGTGAGGACTGTGTAAAATTACAAAAGTCATTGTTGAAAGTGTATTCAAGAATTCAAAGTTCAGCGTTGCCTGGCAATGGATGGTACAGAATGTATATTCAATATAAAGCAGAATTAATTTTTAACTAGATATAATTACCCGGTTGCAGCGAACAAAGCAATCACAAAATAGTCATGCTATTGCACTGCCTTGTAGAGTGCACAGGAAGTTTTTGGAAATATATGGTCTACTTGTATTTATTATCTTTTTTCGTCTCCTCCCTAGACTTACAACCGGGGAGAGGACATGGTTGAAAACATTAAACGAATTCACAAATTAAATATTTTATAAGCCGAGTCGCGCCATACCAATTTATTTTATCGCTGTCATCTTGTTTTGTCAGTAAATCGTCACCGGTGTCGGTTTTCTCTTAAAATAACCAAATTCATATAAAAATAGGATCCAAAAATGGCGTTCTGTGGCTGAGCTATTCATATATCCTCTGATTTTGATTGGAATCATTATTTTTACATCGATCCTACAAAGTATACACAGATCAGCATTTGACTAAGCGGTCTCAAAAATGCCAATTGGAAACAAAGCAAGCGACGTAACCTGTAAACCGTGTTACGTCCAAATATGTGAAGGATAATACATCATACCGACACCGATGTTTAAGTGAATACACATATTATATAAAAGAGATGATATATTATATGTTTCAAGATCAGTATACGATTATTTAGATATTATTATCACTAACTAAAGATGGCAATGAAATAAATTTGATCGTAAACTCTTTGTCACCACCTGAGGAAGTAAGATTTTAGACTGTATCGCACATGTATATAGATGTGACCCTGCCAAGATTAAGGGATTGATTTTATTGGTGTTTCCTTCAGAGTTTCCAATAAATGTCTAAATATCAATTAAATTAGTGCAAATCTTGAATAGATGATATGAATAGTTAATTTTTTTAGTTCTTCGTGGAATGAAAAATTATTGACAATTTGTATGAAATATCGATTACTTAATATATATATATAAATATTAACAAAACAATCACAAAATTAACAGTAAATCCACTATCCACAAAGAAAATAAAATCATCTAAAACTACTTTTTCTGCCCGGTGTTCTTGTATAGTAGTATTCAGACCACAGGAGAATTTGTGAAAAAAACTGTTGCCATACGGTACTGAATTTAATTGCTTCGGTGCCGGAGTCATAGTTTTACATACGGAATTTTAAAAATCATGAAGGACATGAATAAACGATATACTGAATTAAAAATAGTCATTCAACTAAATGAAGGTAATATTAAATGCCTTCGAAAAAAAAAACATATGATCGCTGTTTGATCGGAAGCTTACAGCTATTCTATTCCGGGGAAAGAGATTATGCTATTCGTAGTAATTTTATGTTACAAAAAAATCACGGACATTATTTTGTTCATCTCCAGTGGGCCTACGCTTCCTTGATTTGAAAGCATACACAACGACGAAAAGCGAAAGCAAAATCGGATAGATGTAGTTCGCAAACAAAGGGCTAATTTCAAATTAATTTTACGCTGCAATGTCGCAAAGATATATCTTGATAGGAGAGTTTCTAGAGTCAAGAAGAATAGAATCCGGTATAATTTCTCATAACGACAACAGCATTTCGCGAGGAAAAGTTTGTTTTTCGGACGGTTATTATGAACCAATCGCATTAGATATTCTCCTTTAGTACAGCCCCAGCAGTACCAATCTAAATAAGCCAGCAATGTTACATACGAGAAGGAGTCGGGGGTTTGTCCAAGCATCTAAAGCAGTTGTTCACAACCTTCTATGACTCGTTGCTCCCTTCCGGATGCTTTTAGCAATCATGGCCACCTGTGTATCATTCCAATGGAATTTATATTGTTATTATGATTGGCAGACTCCAAATCCAAATATGTTCAATATTGTGAGATTTTGATAATATGTTCCTATGAATGAAATTGGTTGTATATGCATGAGACATTATCTATATATATATGTTTATTTGATTGGCTGTATATGAGTTGGATGTATAAGCATATTTTTTGTTGTATATATAAGTATACAACGTTACCATCCCAACCATTGCATCTAAGATGAAACTCCGAAGACAGTCTGGCTATTCGATTTACATCAAACACTTACCAATGGAACACAAAACTACAGATTTGAGTCTATATATACCTATGTTACAATGCTCTTGAATCAGTCGAATTTGTCAACCTTAAAAACATTCCCCGGAAACAGTTGTCATAGCTACTGCTAGACCACATATATATATATAATCATTATAATCAACCAACATATATTTTAAAACCAATATCATTTTGATCTTTTCAATCTTTTGCATTCTGGGAAGGCTAAATTAAAAATATTTGTTAGATAAAATATAATACACTTTTGTCTTGTCACAGATAAAAATACATATGATTATCTCCAAACCCGAATAAAATAAGAGCTTTAAAATTAACAATATAGGATTTACAAAAATAAATCTTCAATATAAACAATGTGGGTTGTAATGTTCCATTCGGGATAACCAAAGTTTTTTTCGATCACAAAGATGGGAATAAATCTTAAGGGATTTAAAAAAAGAAATAAATATTGAATCAATAGAGGTAAATTTATAATCGTCAATAAAAGGAGCTTGAATCAGAGTATCATTCATTTATAGAATCTGATATTAAGAAGAATGTTTTGTAATAATATTAGGAATGAATATATTTCGCCGAATGAAGTAATAACAACTTCAACAAATAATAGCTAATTGTTATCTCCACTTTATATGTACAAATCATAGCACATTCCCTTGATAAATTCGACCCTCATATTGATGTGACCCTGCCATGTTTGAGGGTAAACCCGAATATATCGACAAGTTATTGGTTTTGGAAACATGTTGATCTTTTTGGTGTCTCTGTCAGAGTTACCTGCAAATATCTGAATAAAAAAATATTTAACTTTAGGTTGCGTGGTTTGATAACTGCTCCGAAGAAAAGATATATGGCACAAAGCTTAGAACGATTGTATTCAATAATAAAGTTGTTCAGAACTATTTCCAATTCAAAGAGAGAAGAAAAACGTTAAATTACTTTTTTATACCATATGTTGATATTATATTATTAATCGATCAATATGTTTATGCGATGAGTTATATATACATTGTTCGCCCTATCACGATAGTGGTTGACTGTTATTCCATGTTCAAGTTCTTATAGTTTTATTCAAAAAAATATGAAAATTATTCAAAAATACATTTTGTAACTGTCAATTATTATCATCATTTTTTTCTGTCATGAAAATTACTTTCGCATTTATTTTTCCTAAAATGCCATTTGCAGATTGTTTTCAGAAACAATTTTGACGCATTTTCAGTCACAAAACCAACTACAATGTACGAAACTCAAGCATGAAAAAGGATTGATGAACCACCTTACCTTTTGTGCCCCATTCTCTTGGACGGTAGCCAGAGTACTAGTGCTAAGACCACAAGAAATCGTGAAAGACGTCACCCATACACCAACACCCTCTCTTCCCTGTGTAATTATTCCACCAACTAGTTTTGGTCTTCCGAAGTCTACTTGAAGCCATTCGCCCTTTCGATCTGGCGGTACATAAATTAAATTTCTCTTTGGCAATATTTTTTTATGAATCTATCAAAAAAATGTATAGCCTTTAATTAACTTGTCATATTCTATTTAATTGGTATTGAATGTTTCAAAATATGTTATTACTAACTGTGCCGGGCCGCCCATGCTCCTTCATCTCCTCGATGATATCTGTTATCAAGCCTTCCGTCATACGCATTATGATTTACGTCATATATCGATGAAGCTGTAATAGCTGAGTCTGGTATATCTCTGCTTCTCATTCCCATAAAACAATATGCACCTGTAGTATTTATGTATATTAGAATAAATAATAACATGATATCAAAATAAATGAACAGCATCAATGGGAAATTCAGAATACGACAAGTATCTGCTATACGTAAACGCACATTGTACTACAAGTATAAAGCTCAACGGAAAATTCAGGGTCTTACTACTTACTGAATACAGCGCGAAACACCGCAAAGAGCGCAAAACAGCGCGAAACAGCGCAAAAGAGCGCGAAACAGCGCAAAATAGCGCGAAACAGCGCAAAAGAGAGGAAAACAGCGCGAAACAGAAGGAAACCAGCGCAAAACAGAGGGAAACAGCGCAAACAGGAGACGCAGTCATTACCATCTCCTGCCACGAAAGAACCACGGCGCCTCTCGCCATGGTTTTATGGCGCTATTTCCGGCATATTTACAAGGTTTTGTACCGGATTATAGGTCATCATGCGAAATTTTATCTACCTTTTTGGTGCTCCAGAAGTATGTGCAGCAATATGTCGCACAACCTGAATCCGCTACACACACACACACATACTATTTTCAGGTTGTGCGCCATCTTGGTGCACATACTTCTGGAGGTCCCTTTTTACCTAACCCTAACCCTAAAGCCAACCATATCCATATGGAAAATGTTCTAAATTATGGTACCCAAAATGTGTCACCAGCAGGGGCAGACCTGCCATTACAGCATTACTGGCTACATACGTTGGTTTGTGTTTTTAATTTGCTGCCGTGGTACTCCAACTCAAAACAAGGTGCCCCGAACTCATTGCAAAATTTTTTCTGCTTCACCCTGTTTCCCTCTGTTTTGCGCTGTTTCGCGCTGTTTTGCGCTGTTTCGCGCTGTTTTGCGCTCTTTGCGGTGTTTCGCGCTGTATTCAGTAAGTAGTAAGACCGGAAAATTCATGATCAAAACTTTTACTCCTAAAGTTACTTTTAATTTCAAGGGTTTGTTGTATTATCAATGAAATCTCGCACTCAACTCTCTGCCACAACAATATAATCAGTTAGTTTTGAGCATGTAAGAACTAACAAAGTATAGAGATCATATTCAAGTTTATTTTTTTCCATCCAGTAAAAAACAAAATTAAACACACCATTTTGACCAACTAAGACTAAGTTAAACAAGATTGCGATCAGAGACCGCCGACTTATCGATCTAGCGGCGTGTATTCTTGGCTTTGATTCAATAGCGACACCACGTGTCCTATTACTAATTAATTAATAACTCGCTAATTATATAACATAATTCATCTAAATCATCATAATTCATCTAAAATCAATATGCTTCTGGTCCGAGTTATGATGGATGCACATGCAAAATTTGGAGCAGATTCAACCTCGCGTTCGTGAGATATCGCGTGCATCTAACAAACAAACAGACAGACAAATACCTATCAACATACTTATCGATCAAGATTGATAAGTAATAGTTTGATTGCCTTTGTGACGTTGGATACTTGCATTCAACTTTAAACTACAATGGGAACCTCCATTTACTTGATACTTACTCTTTGGTAAAGCCTCAATAATCCGACTTGTCTTTGCAAGCGAACCTAAAATTATAAACTGGAGTCAGACAATAGTACATAGTAGTAAAAAAGTACCACCCAACATGATGTTAAAAATGTCACCCAATAATGGTGGGTGTGTTTTCACTGATGGTCGATACCATGTTTTTCAATTCAAATTAGTAGCCACAGACACACGATTGAATTTGAGCCCCATTACCGTTTTCAAAAGCGACCGAACTCCACGCCCTCATTTGAACTCGTGTAAACAATTTCGTTTGTCCAAGGACTATTAAAAATCGGTCTCTGCCGTAGATTGCAGCCTAGCGCTAACGATAAATATTTCCCCATGTTATGTTTCCATCTAGCTGATATATATATTTATATATATATATATATATACTAAAAGCAGTCTCGCTCAAAACAAGTAGAGCGTTTTACTGAAATAATATTTTTGTGTAGTCAATAGGGATATACAAAACAATGAAGCTTAATTATTGAGCATGATAAGTTTTCACTTTCAAGTTCTCTAATTCTTTCTTCCAAATTCTCAGCAGTTCCTTGCTCGCCTTTTTGACCTTTTGCTCCTGTTAATCCTCTTGGTTCCTGTGATCCGCGTTTACCAGGCCTGCCTTGACATTGACTGGAATCACAAGTCAGCTGACTCGTGTCCCCATTTGCTACAACATGCGAGCAAAATTCATACACTGTTGGCATGTGACAGCTAGTAAATCGTAGAAAAAGAACAAAGTATAACACTAAAATAATCTTCATTTTTGCGATTATGGTCTAAAAACAAATGAAATAATATATTAAAATTAAATAATTTCCGATACTTTGCAATAAAGGTATAACACTAATAAAGGGTAATGAATAAAAGATATCTAACTTTAATACTAACTTCCCGGCGTATTTTACCGAATTATTAGTTAGACTTCCGTAGCCACTCATGGTTATCGTTTGAACGGTTCTCGTAATCGTTAGGGATGGCGCAATCGACTCCGGATTCGATTCCAGAATCGATTCTCCGTGGAATCGAGTAGAATCGATTCCGATGCATTGGAATCGATTATTTGGGTTAAAACTTGGATTGCAAACAAGGTATAAAGTTTTGTGACAAGTTCTTCACATATGTGAATAAACTGGTATATGGAATTGCTACAACGCTGAAAACCTAACTATATTTTTCTACAATTTCTTCCTCGCTCGTTTGCGCGGGTGAGGGCACATGCCACATTTTGACCATTTCAAGTACATTTTCTCTTACTTATTGCGTTCATTACTCATATTTACTTGAAGCAAGGGACATCACGAAAAATAAGAAAACTTGTTGCAGTTTGAAGTGGTAAGTTTTACCCCTCAGAGACGGAAAAGTCCGCAGTCCAACAGACCAGAATAGCAAAAGACCTCTTTCATAGAAATAAGGAAGTTTATATGTAATGAAAATCTGATCATGGGTATCATGATGGTATGGGTAGCTCTGAAGTGACGAGCGGTGATATTGATGAATTAACCAGGTAGTTGAAGGCTTCTCTGAGATATCAAAATACTTGAATGACAGAACTCTTGTTAAATCTACGACCCACGAAGAATGTTGCGATGGTGGCAACAAAACAAAAAAGACGTTTCCAAACATCGCAGTTGTCGTCCAAATGTACCTCTATGTCCCAGCAGCATCCACTGCATCAGAAAGATAATTTAGCTCAAAAGAGCTTCCCGTATTCAAATTCCCATCGAGCTTACAGGAAGATATGTGAACGAATTGAACTTTTTTGCCATGATAGTAACTTTTTGAACACGAAATGAACATTTAGATCGTTGTGTTATTATATTTTTGCTAGAATTCATTTTATTGTTCTTGTTATGAAAATATATCTCTTATCATTACCTAATGGAGGAATTGCTAGAAAATTTTGTGGTTGAAAATTGTAATTTTCCGCTAGAAGGCTATTATGTTTATTTATTTCAAGATTTTTTGTGGGCTCTAAGGCATTCGTTTTTTTTGTGCGATTTTGTCTACTGTGACAGATTGAAAACCCATACCACTTAGTTTAGGCTTTCGTGTCCATATATTTGAACATTGCTCACTTGTTACTTATCGATTTTAATCGGTAAGTATGTTGATAGGTATTTGTCTGTCTGTTTGTCTGTCTGTCTGTTAGATGCACGCGATATCTCACGAAAGCGAGATTGAATCTGCTCTAGATTTTGCATGTGCATTCATCTTATGTCGTACCAGAAAGCTATTGGTTTTGGATGAATTATGTCGTATATTTAGCGAGTTATTAATTAATTAGTGATGGGACACAAGGTGTCACTATGGAGTAATAGCGCTGTTTTGGGGATCCCCTGACTTCCGATCGATAAGTCTTCGGTCTCTGACCGATATTCTTGTTTGATTTGTTAGTATTGTTTAAATGGGTAGGTTTTCTAAGCTATGTCGAGGAATCGAGAATCGGAATCGAAAATTTAGGAATCGGATAAGAATCGAATACTTGTAAGTACTCATACTTGGCATCCTTAGTAATCGTACGCACTGTGGAAATTACGAAAGTCATTGTTGAAATGATATCAAGAATTCAAAGTTCAGCGTCGCCTGTCAATGGATGGTACGGAATGTATATTTAATATAAAGCAGAATTAATCTTTAACTAAGTAGAATTACCTAATTGAAGTAAACAAAGCAGTCACGAAATAGTCACGATCTTGTACCGTGTTTTTGGAGATGAATCTGGTCTACTTGTATTTATTATTTCATTCCGTATCCTCCCTAGACTTACACTTGTCGGGGTATAGGCCATGGTTAAGACCAGGCCATTAAAACGAATCCACAAATGAAATATTTTCTAAGCCGAGTCGCGCTATACCCACTTATTTTATCGCTGGCATCTTGTTTTTGTCAGTAAATCGTCATCGGTCTCGTCATCGTTTGTTTTCTGTTAATGATCAAATTCATTAACAACCAAGGTACAAAAATAGGTTATGTGGCTGAGCTGATCAAATATCTTTTGACTTTGATTGGAATTATTTTTTTACATCGATTCTACGAAATATACACAGATCAGTATTTGACTATGCTGTCTTAAAAATGTCTATTGAAAACAAACCAAGTGACGTAACCTGCAAACCCGAGTTACGTCCAAATATGTGAAAGATATTTCATCACATCGTCTACCGATGGTTGGGTGAATGCGCATATTACATAAATGAGATGATATATTATATGTTTCAAGATCAGTATACGATTTGGATATTATTATCATTAAACAAAGATAGCAATGAAGTGAATTTGATCGTAAACTCTTTGACACCACCTAGAGGAGATACAATTTCAGACTCTAGCGCAGATGTACACAAATGTGATTCCTACAGATATGGCCCTGCCAAGATTGAGGAATTGATTTTCTTGGTGTCCCTGTCAAAGTTGCCGGTCAATGTCTAAATATCAACTAGATTGGTGCAAAACAATAGTTAATTGTAGAAAAAGGGCCAAGTATAAAACTGAAATAATCTTCATTTTTGCGGTTAATGCCTACTAAACTCTAAACAAATGAAATAGTATACTCAAATTAAATAATTTCGGATACTTTGCAACAAAGTTATAATAATAATGAAGCTGCAGGGTAATGAATGGAGCATATCCACGTACCATCTAACTTTCTTGCTAACTTGCCGTCGTATTTTACCGAATGATTAGTTAGACTTCCGTAGCCACGCGCGGTTGAACGGTTCTCGTAATCGTGAGGACTGTGTAAAATTACAAAAGTCATTGTTGAAAGTGTATTCAAGAATTCAAAGTTCAGCGTCGCCTGACAATGGATGGTACAGAATGTATATTCAATATAAAGCAGAATTAATTTTTAACTAGATATAATTACCCGGTTGCAGCGAACAAAGCAATCACAAAATAGTCATGCTCTTGCACTGCCTTGTAGAGTGTACAGGAAGTTTTTGGAAATATATGGTCTACTTGTATTTATTATCTTTTTTCGTCTCCTCCCTAGATTTATAACCGGGGAGAGGAAATGGTTGAAAACATTAAACGAATTCACATATTAAATATTTTATAAGCCGAGTCGCGCCATACCAATTTATTTTATCGCTGTCATCTTGTTTTGTCAGTAAATCGTCACCGGTGTCGTTTTTCTCTTAAAATAACCAAATTCATATAAAAATAGGATCCAAAATGGCGTTATGCGGCTGAGCTATTCAAATATCCTCTGATTTTGATTGGAATCATTATTTCTACATCGATCCTACAAAGTATACACAGATCAGCATTTGACTGAGCGGTCTCAAAAATGCCAATTGGAAACAAAGCAAGCGACGTAACCTGTAAACCGTGTTACGTCCAAATATGTGAAGGATAATACATCATATCGACACCGATGTTTAAGTGAATACACATATTATATGAAAGAGATGATATATTATATGTTTCAAGATCAGTATACGATTATTTAGATATTATTATCACTAACTAAAGATAGCAATGAAATAAATTTGATTGTAAACTCTTTGTCACCACCTAGAGGAAGTAAGATTTTAGACTGTAGTGCACATGTATATAGATGTGACCCTGCCAAGATTAAGGGATTGATTTTATTGGTGTTTCCGTCAGAGTTTCCAATAAATGTCTAAATATCAATTAGATTAGTGCAAATCTTGAATAGATGATATGAATAGTTAATTTTTTTTAGTTCTTCGTGGAATGAAACAATTATTGACAATTTGTATGAAATATCGATTACTTAATATATATATATATAAATATTAACAATACAATCACAAAATTAACAGTGAATCCACTATCCACGCATAAAATAAAATCATCTAAAACTACCTTTTCTGCCCGGTGTTCTTGTATAGTAGTATTCAGACCACAGGAGAATTTGTGAAAAAAACTGTTGCCATACGGTACTGAATTTAATTGCTTCGGTGCCGGAGTCATAGTTTTACATACGGAATTTTAAAAATCATGAAGGACATGAATAAACGATATACGGAATTAAAAACAGTCATTCAACTAAATGAAGGTAATATTAAATGCCTTCGAAAAAAAAAACATATGATCGCTGTTTGATCGAAAGCTTACAGCTATACTATTCCGGGGAAAGAGATTATGCTATTCGTAGTAATTTTATGTTACAAAAAAATCACGGACATTATTTTGTTCATCTCCGGTGGGCCTACGCTTCCTTGATTTGGAAGCATACACAACGAAGAAAAGCGAAAGCAAAATCGGATAGATGTAGTTTGCGAACAAAGAGCTAATTTCAAATTAGATTTATGCTGTAATGTCGCAAAGATATATCTTGATGGAAGAGTTCCTAGAGTCGAGAAAAACAGAATCCGGTATAATTTCTCATAACGACAACAGCATTTCGCGAGGAAAAGTTTGTTGTTTGGACGGTTATTGTGAACCAATCGCATTAGATATTCTCCTTTAGTACAGCCACAGCAGCACCAATATAAATAGGCCAGCAATGTTACATATGAGAAGGAGTCGGGGGTTTGTCCAAGCATCTAAAGCAGTTGTTCACAACCTTCTATGACTCGTGGAAACCTTCCGGATGCTTTTAGCACTCATGGCCACCTGTGTATCATTCCCATGGAATTTATAATGTTATTATGATTGGCAGACTCCAAATCCAAATATGTTCAATTCTGTGAAATTTGTGATAATATGTTCTTATGAATGAAATTGGTTGTATATGCATGAGACATTAGCTATATATATATATGTGTTGATTTGATTAACTGTATATGAGTTGGATGTATAGGCAAATTTTTTGTTGTATTTAATATCGATTTACATAAAACACTTACCAATGGAACACAAAACTACAGATTTGAGTCTATACCTATGTTACAAGGCTCTTGAATCATTTGAATTTGTCAACCTTAAAACCATTCCATGAAAACAGTTGTCCTAGCTACTGCTAGACCATATATATATAATCATTATAATCAACCAACATATATTTTGAAACCAATATCATTTTAATCATTTCAATCTTTTGCATTCTGGGAAGGCTAAATTAAAAAGATTTGTTAGATAAAATATAATACACTTTTGTCCTGTCACAGATAAAAATACATATGAATATCTCCAAATCCAAATAAAATAAGAGCTTTGAAATTAACAATATAAGATTTACAAAAATAAATTTTCAATATATTAATAGACAATGTGGGTTGTAATGTTCCATTCAGGATAACCAAAGTTTTCTTCGATCAAAAAGATGGGAATAAATCTTAAGGGTTTTAAAAAATATATAAATATTGAATTAATAGAAGTAAGTTTACAATCGTCATTAACAAAGCAGCCTGAATCAGAGTATCATGCATTTAATAAAGATGCTGATAATAAGGAGAATGGTTTGTAATAATATTAAGCATGAATATATTACGTTGAAAAAGTTAATAACAATTCCAACGAATATTTGATCGTTATCTCCCCATTATGTGTACAGATCAAAGCACATTCCCTTGATAAATTCGACCCTCATTGAGATATGAGCCTTCCAGGTTTGAGGGTGAACCCGAACATATTGACAAGTGACTGGTTTTGGAAACATGTTGATCTTTTTGGTTTCAATGTCAGAGTTACCTGTAAATATCTGAATAAAAAATGACTTAAAGTCGATGTGGTTTGATAACTTCTACCAATTCACATAAAGCATGGAACCGTTGTATTCAATAAATGAAGTTGTTCAGATTATAATATTGGCATCTGATGTAAAAAGTACGATTTACGTTTTTCTTCTATTTTCAAATTGAAAGTAGTTAATTCATTAAGATGTTTATAAGATTGTTTCGTCCCATCACAATAGTGGTTGACTGTGATCAATTTTCAAGTTTTTATACTTTTAATTAGAAAAATATAAAATGTATTCGAAAATACATTTTATAACTTTCAATTATCATCACCTTTTCTGTCACAAAACCTGCTTTCGCGTTTATTTTTGTATAAAATTCAATTGACACATTGTTTCCAGAAACAGTTTTGGCGCATTTCCAATCACGAAACCAACAACAATCTACAAAACTCAAGCATTAAAAATGATCAATGAATCACCTTTTGTGCCCCGTGCTCTTGTATGGTAGTCAGAGAACTGGAGCTGAGACCACAGGAAATTGCGAAAGACGTCACCCATTGATCGTGACCCTCTCTTCCCTGTGTAATTATTCCACCAACTAGTTCCGGTCTTGCGAAGTCTACTTGAAGCCATTCGCCCTTTCGATCTGGCAATACATAAATTAAATTCATCATTGGCAATAATTTTTATTATGAATCTATCAAAAATTCAAGTAGCCCATAATTGAATTGTCATATTCTATATAATTGATATTGAATGTTACAAAATATGTTATTACTAACTCTGCCGGACCGCCCATGCTGCTACATCTCCTATTTTTTTTCTGTTGTCAAGCCTTCCGTCATACGCATTATGATTTACGTCGTATATCGATGAAGCTGTAATAGCTGAGTCTGGTATATCTCTGCTTCTCATTCCCATAAAACAATATGCACCTGTAGTGATATTTGGGTATATTAGAATAAATAATAACACGATATTAAAATACATGAATAGCATCAATGGAAAACTCTGAAAAAAGAAATATCTTGGATCTACCATACGTCACCGCACATTATTCTACAGGTATAAAGGCTAACGGAATATTCATGAATCGTGATGTCCCATAAAATGTTTACACCAAAAGTTACTTTCAGGTTTAATTAGTAGTACCGGTACGGTGCTGTATCTAGAGTTGCCAACCGTTCTTTATTTCAAAGAACAATAGGCCTAGTGTATTAGTCAATGAAATCTTGCGCTCAACTCTCTACCACTACTTCGACAACAATATAATCAGTTAGTTTTGAGCAGCTAAGAACTAAAAGTGTATAGAGACGATAGTCATAGTCAAGTTTATCATTTCCATCCAATAAAAATAACATGTAAAAATCGACAAAAAATAAAATTTATCACACCATTTTGACCAACAAATATATATAATTTGATGGTCTTTGTGACGTTGGATATTTGCGTTCAACTTTAATCTATAAAACTAAATTCGATTTTCTTGATACTTACTCTTTGGTAAAGCCTCAATAATCCGACTTGTCTTTGCAAGCGAACCTAAAATTGTAAACGGGAGTCAGACATTAGTACATAATAGTATACGAGTACCACGCAACATGATATCACACTATTTGTAGGTTAAATTAGTGGTTGGGTGTTTTCACTGATGGTCGATACCGTATTCTTTAATTCAAGTCAGTAGCTTCAGACATCCGGTTGGTTAAATGATTGAATTTTAGCCCCATTACTATGCTCAAAAGTGACTGAATTCTACGCCATCACATGAACTCACGTAAACAATTTCGTTTGACCCAATAATACTAAGAAACGGTCTATTTTGTGGATTGCAGCTTAGCGCTAACTATAGATCTTTTTTATGTGCTGTTTCAATTGGTACAGCTACTATATATAATAAAAAAAGAGTTGAGCTCAATACAAGTGGAACTTTGTTACTGAATCACTATTTTTGTGTAGTCAATGAAGGATATACAAAACAATGAAACGTAATTAATGAATATGATATTTAATTACTTTCAAGTTCTCTAATTTTTTCTTCCAGATTTTCAGCAGTTCCTTGTTCGCCTTTTTGACCTTTTACTCCTGTTAATCCTCTTGGTCCCTGTGATCCGCGTTTACCAGGTCTGCCTTGACATTGACTGGAATCACAAGTCAGCTGACTCGTGTTCCCATTTGCTACAACATGCGAGCAAAATTCATACACTGTTGGCATGTGACAGCTAGTTAATTGTAGAAAAAGGAAAAAATATAACACTAAAATAATCTTCATTTTTGCGATTAAGGTCTAAAAACAAATGAAATCATATATTAAAATTAAATAATTTCCGATACTTTGCAATAAAGTTATAATACTAATAAAGCTGCAGGGTAATGAATAAAGTATATCCAGCTACCATCTAACTTTCATGCTAACTTGCCGGCGTATTTTACCAAATGATTAGTTAGACTTCCGTATCCACGCACTTCATCATTTGAACGGTTCTCGTAATCGTACGCACTGTGAAAAATTACAAAAGTCATTGTTGAAATTGTATTCAAGAATTCAAAGTTCAGCGTCGCCTGTCAATGGATGGTACAGAATGTATATTCAATATAAAGCAGAATTAATCTTTAACTAGGTATAATTACCTGCTTGAAGTAAACAAAGCAATCACGAAATAGTCATGCTCTTGCACTGCCTTGTACCGTGCACAGGTTGTTTTTGGAGATGAAGCTGGTCTACTTGTATTGAATTTATTATCTTATTTTGTATCTCCCTTAGACTTAAACTTATTGGGAGAGGCCATGGTTGAACCAATATTACAAATTCACATATTAAACATTTTTTAAGCCGAATCTCGCTATACCCACTTATTTTATCGCTGTCACCTTGTTTTTGTCAGTAAATCATCGGTCTCATCTTTTTTCTGTTAAAGATCAAATTCATATACAAATAGGGTTCAAAAATGGCGTTATGCGGCTGAGCTATTCAAATATCTTTTTATTGGAAACATTTTTAACATCGATCCTACGAATAATACGCATATCAGCATTTGACTAAGCTGTCTCAAAAATGCCAATTGAAAACAAAACAAAGTGATTTAACCTTCAAACCTTGTTACGTTCAAATATGTGAAATATATTACGTCATATCGTCTACCGATGGCTAAGTGGATACGCATATAATATAAATGAGAAGATATGTTATATAATTTTGAGATCGGTATACGAGTATTTAGATATTATCATTAAACAAAGATAGAAATGAAATAAATTTGAACGTATACTCTTTGACATCACCTAGAGGAGATAAATTATTAGACTCTGGCGCAGTAGTTCTCAACCTTTTTCAGTTCGCGGACCGGTAAAATTTCAAAACAAATTTCGCGGACTGGCGGACCTTCAAAATTACCCATAAATGTCATGAACACAAAACATAATCAAAAGAATGCAATTACGACAAAAGTAGGCGGTGCAAAAGAATAAATTCAATTTAATGAGAAGCGGTACTTTTTCGCTGCTGGTAGTAATAGTGAAACCTAGCTCCAAATACTTCTTATCCTACCAGATCCATATCAACTTTTCTGCAAGGTTGTTTCGGGGCATGTTGTAAAGTTGAAGTAGCGGTCTCTACATCTGTCCTGTCAACACTAACTTGGTTTTCACCGCTGGGTTTCTTATGAAAGAACTGGATAATACTTGGATAATGTTGTTTCGTTTTCCTCCATTTTACTATCAAACCTTGCTGAATTACAGAACTACTGTCAAATTACAAAACGTGCGATCTGCTAAGTCCTCAATCAGGTATCGTACTGTGTGTAGGGATTTGTTCACCTGGTACACATACTACGTTTTTGGTGTCCGCCATTTTGGTTCCCATACTTCGGGAGTTCCGATTGATTTTGTATTAAATGGGTTAAATAAGAATGGACGTAAAAACATGAAAAGCGCTTCTTATTCGCAATGAATCCTTTAAAACGCCACCAATAACGATGAAGGCCCATACACGCCTTCTCAAGCTGTAGCTCAATGCGTCCGCAAACGTGGTTGGCGCAGGAAGACGCAACCGATAAGACATTACGTGAACGACCCTGCGGCGAGAACCACCTTGCCAAATTTAAAATACGACCAAAGAAATGAGTTTGTATATCTTTGAAAAACTCTATCATTTTAACATTAAGAACAAAGTATGCTAAGCATAAATTAACCGAACAGTTTTAAAAGTAATAAAGCCTTAATTTTACGATGAAAATGTCAATACAGAAACTCAATAGGCCTATCCTTATTATTGAATTATAACAGATTAGTTTTGACATCATTGCATCAGAGGGGTCTTACAATTAGCATAGCCTGTCTCATCGTTTAAATCAGGTTTCCGCTGATGTAAGTATATAGATACAAACATGAGTGATTATAAGGTTGCCAGAAGTCAGCTGGACAAGACTCAGGTACTATATCATGTAAATCCGGAGTTACCACTGTATGTAGAAACGGATGCATCTGAAAACGGGTTCGGAGCAGTGATGTTTCATACCGAGCGGGGTGAGGAACCACCATTCAAAAGTGTATACCCTATAGCATTTTATAGCAAAAAATGGCTCACAGCGGCAGCTAGGTGCTATGATCCTTGCACTAAGGAGTTAAAAGCGCTCAAGGAAACTGTTGATAAATGGCAATCTATTTTATATGGGATACCGTTTACGGTAATAACAGATAATACGGGAGTTTATGGCCTGCTGAAGCGGATGAAAGAGCAACCCAAGAATCCTTCGCCCAAAATGTTAATCCAAAGGTGGCTTAATCACTTATCGGGTTTTCAGATTGAACGAATAATACACTTTAGCACGAATGAAGTTTTTACATCGGATGGGTTGTCAAGATCCTACTGGATGGAACTAGCAGCTGGAGAAGATGAACCAGGTGTTTGGGCGGCGGAACTGATTTCACCCGAAACTGCTGAAATAACTAAGATACAGCGAATTCTGGTAAAGCATTGTAGACATGAGGAGTGCCCTTATGCAAGAGGGGGACTTCATCCGTGGCCTCGGTTGCAAGAAATGCTGTTAATCCGGACAGGAAAGATATATGAAGTAGAGACCTTGGAAGAGATCATAAATAAAGACGGGTTAACCGCCTCTTATGGACACTCCAAGGGACAGACACCTAATTATCAAGAATACAAGGGAAATGAAACACTGTATCACCTAACCCGCTCGAAGAATGTGGAGTCGATATTAAAGAAGGGATTAAAGCCAATGGCTAGAGGGTATATTCATCTAACGAACGTTCAAAGACCTCGAACTCGCAAAAGAGCAAAAACAATTTCGATCCAGCCCGGAAATTTAAGAGAAACCGGGATAAAACTTTGGCAAACCTCTAACCCGGAAGTTATTTTATGTAAAGTTCCAATACCCGGGAAAATGTTGAATTTAATGAACTAGATATAAAAGGGAAATTAGTACACAAATAATATCAGCCCAACTATGCTAATGAGTCATCAGCTTAAAGTGTTACTCACCTGACTAATAACATGATTGGAATGACTCAGCACAAACCAGAAGTATGAATAATCTCGCTGGTGCGCATACTTCTGGAGCCCCCATATATCTTTTGACTTTAATTGGAACCATTTTTTAACATCGATCCTACGAAATATACACAGATCAGTATTTGACTAAGCTGTCTCAAAAATGTAAATTGAAAACAAAGCAAGTGATTCAAACCGTGTTACGCCCAAATATGTGAAAAATATTCCATCATATTTCATATTCCAAGATTAGTATACGATGATTTAGATATTATTATCATTAAACAAAGATAGCAATACACAAAGACACCACCTAGAGGAGGTAAGATTTTAGACTGTAGCACACGTGTATATAGATGTGTCCCTGCCAAGATTGAGGGATCGATTTTCTTGGTGTCTCTGTCAGAGTTTCCAGTAAATGTCTGAATATGAACTAGATTGGTGCGAATCTGGAATAGGTGAGAAGCGACGTATGAATAGTTCATTTTTTCAGTTATTCGTGAATTTGTAAGAAATATCGACCACATAATATATATATTAACAAAATTATCACAAAATTGACAGTAAATCAATTATCTACAACAGTGTTTCTTAACCTGGGTTCGATTGGACCCCTGGGGTTTGGTGCTGCTGTACTAAGGGTTCGTCGAAGGTCCTGTGAACTTGTTGGGTATTATGAAGTATTTCTATTTCCGAGCCAATTAAATATGTTAAAGAAAATCATAATTTAAGGCAGATATCCAAATTTCAACATTCAGGCCATTCATAAAATAGCTTATTTATTACCTGTCAATGAGAGGAGATTGTATGTACCTCCATATGACATCATTTTTATATTCTTTCTGACTTCCAAGTATCTAAGGTTGTTATTACAAACCTCGAGATTTTGAACCTAAATATTTGCGTAAACGACATGTTATTTATAACCTACTAATGAAACGTAACGCATATTTTACAAACAATTTGATTATAATAAGTGTACATAAATGGATGAAAAAATAAGGGCAGTTTGAATTTCACTAAAAGATAGAATTTCCAGAACAGAATGTTTCGTGGTGGAGCTTTGAGTAAAAATATCATCACCCGTCAACGACCTTATAGCGCTTAGCCGCTTTCACATATCGTATCTCTGTTTCTGTGAAACAATAGGTAAATGCCTTTATACCCATTTGAAGGCAGGTTGAAATCTGTGATGTGTATGACTTGATCCACTTTTGTTTTCGATACGGTATCTCAAGTTTGAGACCACCAATGTTGCAATTTTGCTTTCGTCGTTTTGCGCTTTCCATCGGCACAACTTTTATAACAAAACAAAAATGCCAACGAGTAGGGCTGGGCACTTCGAACCGAATACTCGAATAGTGAGTTATTCGAATTGGTTCAGAGCAAAATTTCGAGTTGCCGCCATCTTGATTATTACTTCTTGTCAATGGCCGAGGTTAATTACGCAATTTTTTTTTTAATATTTTAGCCATATTTTTTCAATGCAGTTCTGACATATGACTATTCTCTGTTGAAAGTTATTGATAAATGAGCGTTTTGGTATTGTGTGTGGACGCTCTGCAATTGGTCCTAATGATGTATTTTATGTTTCCAGTAATTCATTTGCTGACAGAACCAATTACATATCTCCCATTGACTCCCAAGTATTCGAGATTCCATTCGAAACAATTATTCGATTGGATTCTGAAATCATCAGGTAATCGAAAATGCCAAACCCAGCTTTTTCTGGCGACGCCATTGAGAAATAACAATGGTCATTTCGACACGGCGTATTGGTGTCTAAAATTGGACTTTGCAATTCCGAGGAGTCTTTTTCGTGAATTATGTCATCTAAAAAAAGAACTTGGTCTGATGACTATGTGCAGCATGTCTTTATCTGCTCAACTGAACGTGATTCCAATGCGAAAATGACACGAGAATTGCTCTTTCTGAAACGAAGCCACGTATCTCTCAGCTGGTCACCGAAAAACAGCAGCAGAAGTGTCACTAATAAATCTAATGAATAAATAAAGTTTACAGTTTGTTGCAATTTATTCTGCTATAACCAATGGCGCAACCAGGGGTTTCTTTCGGTGGTTGACACTCTCCTGACAAAGCATGTCCTTCAAATTTAACCCGATAAAACAA